GGTCCATGCTGCTTCACTCTATGTTCGGCACGGGGCGTGCCCTTTCCTGTTTTGCCTTCCCTTTCTCTTCCCTTCTCTACTGCGAACAAATCTACTTAAGGGATCGCTCAATAAACAATTTCATCATTTGCTTTCAAGAACGTCGTCTTGTCAATAGTTCGTCTACACCCGAGACGATACACTACCTTTTTCACTTTCGGCGCGATCACAACCCAGCCAGTATAGTTATCTACCTCCCGAATGAAGAGCCAACTTGTGTCTGAATAATGTCGGCGTGAAAATACGGTAGGTTTGGGGTAATGTCACACTAAATCTTCGCGAGATCGAAGTAAGTTTACGGCAGCAATGCATGCGAGAACCGGCTTTCCCATGCCGCCACGTATCTCTCATGGTGAAGCTTCCTCGATTCCTTGATTCCGCGATTCCCCGGTTCCCCAGGGAAGCGTGTAATTGCTGGGGAACGGTTTCGACCCGACCCGCTTACGCGACTCCCAAGAGGTCAATGACCTCACTCCGAGCTGTTTCCCGTCAGTTTCGGGCAAAGGAGGAGGAGGGGGGAGCGTTAGTCATTGCCTTTAATCCGAAAGTTCAAAGCAACAAAAGGAAAATGGGGTCATTGAACATGAGCTTAGTTTACGGGTTAGCCGACGACAATTAATATTTCCTGCCTACTGCTGCGTGTACCACGCTACAGTAGTGTGTACGTGAGTTCGTGTTTGTGTGTGTCTGTGTCAGAGTGTGGGTGTGCGCAGGTGGGCGCGTGTGTCTGCGTGCGCGCTAGTGCGTGCGTTTGCACACATATTCTTGCTTTCGCTTCTCATTTTGCTAGTTTCTTCCTTTCGCGTTTTCCTTGGCTTCCAATCAAACTGGTTCCAATCAAATTGGAAAAAGCGCGACCGTCTTATTTGTTTTTCTTACGGGGGAACTTTGCGCCTTGCTCAATCGGAGGGACGTTAGGCGCTGAAAAAATCCAGTTCTAGGCCTCTAAAAATGGCAGAAAACTCTGTAATTGTCTAATTAAGGCCCGATCGTTTCTTAGGGCAAGAGCGTCTTTGATACCATTTTGCATCTATGTAAGCAATGGAAGGGTTGACTAAAGCCGTAACATTGTATACATACGGAGCTGTGCATATAGTATCCCTTAGCGGAAACTAATACGTTTGAAATATACCAGATTCTAATTTGAGTGTATTTGAAATACAGTTCATAATTGTAAGTACACGAAAAATAGACCGAAAATATAAACTTCTTTTTTTTTGTACTTAGTACTAAAATATACTTCTAAAAATCATTTTAAAATACCTTTACTTAAAATACATTTGAAGTTCCCTTCATGCGTTTTGAAATATGTAAATACTAAATGAATAGGAACAAAATACCTTTCACATATATTTCTTGAAATATTTATTTAATTCATGCAAAATATACTTTAACCCTAAAAAAAATGGAGCAATCAAAAATACGTGCAGAATACTCTTAAAATACCTGAAAATCGTAAATACTGTTGTGTTATACTTTAAGTACCTTTTGACTGCAATGCTTTGGTAATTTGACTTAAACTACCAAAATATTGAAAAGCTTCCCTTCTAGAAGTTCACTTCAAGCAGATATGGAGTACACTGAAGCGCCTAAATACAACATTTGATTAGTTTGTCAACTGAATTGCGCAGCATCGCACTGATAAATCAGCCCAGTTTATGTTATTGTTTCCTTTTTTTCTATCAAGAACACACCTGATCAGTTCCTTGCACACCAATCACATACGGGGTTCGGGAACTACAACCACAACATTTGCTGATGCTGGAAAGCTTCAGCAGGTGCTGTGAACAGGTACGTTTGGCGTGGTTTTGTTAGCACAATGTTAGTTCACGAACGTGTATACTCACCATTGTACGTGATGTGAATAGTGACTTTAATATAGTGACATTAACTACCATATTAAATAGACTACTACTAAAAAGGAAAGGCAAAATAACTACTGTAAAATACTTATTTTTCGCGGGCTCAATATTTCGCAATTCAGGTCAAAGTTGGAGTTTTGGAATAATTCGCAAATTCTAATTTTCGCGACGCGCTGGGATCGAAATATAGATTTTAATGTTTTTACATTTTGCCGGAATTGTTCACGGGACCTATTTTTCGGAATTGTAGGCGATTCGCGAACTTTGCGAGAATTAGGTCCTCACGAAAATAAAGTCGTTTACAGTATTTTAAAGTGAAGAAACTGCCTTGATTCGCTTTGTCCTGAGTGGTGCTACCCAGAGGAGCAATAACATGTATTTTATGAGCCGTTTGTGTGGATATTGTTTTAGGGACTGCGCCGAATTGTTATTAGCTGTACCAATGCTTTTTAGTAAGAGATATCGTCCACGAACTTCAAAACACTGTTTCCCCTTTGACAGACTCCCGAGAAGAAGATCGAATACTTGGAACCTTAATAAGCGCAGAGGTGGTCACCGAAAAAATGATTACCTTCAATATGTAGGCTATATAAGGCTCTAGAGCAGTCAACGGGACTGTGAATGAGCTGTTTAGTGCGTCATGGTGTTTGTGTTTGTGTTCGTTTCTAATGTAGCTTTGTGAGATGTATTTAGTAGTGCCTTCAAATACCACAGGGACACCATTTGCTGACAAAATCGAAAATAAAAAAAAATTGTGCAACCGGTTTTTAATGCACAAATGGCATCTTGAGTGTGAAGGGATAATAGTTTTGGTATATCTAAAATATTTTTTGATACATATTTATAATGTATTTTGAATACCTTACGCGCGTATTTCGAGTGCGGCCAAAATAATACAGAATAAATACAAAATGAATATTCGTATTCAATATATTTCAACTTCGTTTGAAGTACGGTCTCTTTTTGCTAAGGGATATTACAGCTTCATTGATCACCTCCATCGCTTACAGAGACAAAACGTGTTCTCCAAGACGTTGTCACTGTGAATCAATTGGGCTTAAATAGGTCTAATATAATTGTTTCCACCGTTGATTGAGCATAAAACAGGATTTTTGGTACCCCGACATCTGACTTCTGATCATCAAAGAGCTCTAATTTTTCTTTTTATGAATGTTTATTGAAGTGTATGTACAAATGAGAAATATTAAAAAAATATCAAAAGGGAAAAAAGGAAGTATATATATATATATATATATAGAGAGAGAGAGAGAGAGAGATTATGATATACGTGCCTGATTTAAATCACCACAGCGAAAACAAGGTGATTAAAATCATGATATAAGTCAAGATGTAAATCAACTTGATTGTTATTCTCCAACTTGCTAAGAAGTTATGGCGTATCTAAAATATGTGGGTATGTGGACGATTTTTTAATTGTCAGCCTAGCAGTATACATTTCTTTATGTCACGTCATCACTGAGATGGAAGTTTTTGAGCTTAAGCGCTTGCGGTATAACAGTTTCTGAAAGGCAGATGCACTCCTGGAACCTCAAACTAAGACTTGTGAATGACCATATCTGCTGGTCGCACGAGACACGATCTAAAGAAAGCGTTCTGTAATAACGTCTGTGCATTCTAAGACAGCCAAAATGCCATGGTTTGTACAGGCTTGAAAGCTTCCCTCAAAAGTCCCTGCAGGCATAACGTGCAGTTTCCCACAACATAAAAGACCCATTCGCGTAGACAGCTTAAGCGACGACTCTCAGCATACTCTGACAAAGAACACTGTATTTAAAGGGAGAATAAAATTTCATTTCTTTCCTCACACTGATGAATCTGAGCCTGTCCAAGGCGTATTCAGCACAAGCGCCTGAGACTGCCCCGTCGAGTGGGTGTTTTATATATTTGGATACTGTACAAGGACAGTGAGATGTCAGTAGTCCTATCGGATATATCGTGGCGAATATACTAAAAGTCATTTGTATTAAGGAGCCAGATTTAAACGACATTTCTTATACAGTTTTTCTAATTACGCTACATTTGGCAGTGCGCCTTGCTTACGTATATTGCTGGTTTTTGTCATTTTACGTGCTTTTTCCAAACTCGAAAATAAGCCACATGAAGTACTTAGCACAAAGAAGATATTGTCACGAATTGAAAACATTAGGCAAATGAAAAACTAAAAATACATTTATGGAGGCGAGCTTGAGCCTACATACTGAAGGGAAAGGAACCAATACCTTGCGTCGGGGACGAAAGGGTGACTGACCGGAGCAGCGTGTTGCCGCTGCTCTTATACACGCGGTACATTCAGGAATGTTCTGAAGCAGAGCGAGCAATAAAGTAATGGGTTGGAACTTTAAGAAACTAACAAGAAAAACATGTATATATGAAAAAAAAAAAAAGAAGATCCAGGCTTAGCGTTGTTCGAACCCCGTTCCGCCGTGTGGCAGCCGCGCGCGTTGCCAACTCGTCCATGCATGCGGTAATTTACATACGAAGGTAACATTTTTTACACAAATTTTAGGTGTTTGCATGGGAGGTATGATAAGCAGACGCTTACGAAGACGTCGATCACTTGAAGGTTTTTATTTTGTGTTTCGGGCTAGTGTACAGCAGCAGACAAAATAATTCACAAAAGTAAATTCTCAATCGGTCGCATGCGCCTCTCTAGATACATAGATCATGACTTTGGTCGCATGATCGGCCACTTCCTGAGAGAGAGATATGATGTCGTAGAGCACATTTTTACATCGATTAATAGTATCTTCAGATATAAAAAAAAACTACAAGAGTTTACATACTTCTTGTTGTCATTCTTGCAGTCTTATTTGTGTGTTTTCAACGTGCCGTCATTTATAATAGGATGACTAGGACGACCACCGTTGACCGTAATGGTACGCACGAACAACTTCCTTCAAGTGCCTTTGTCTCAATCTTTAAAATCTAGGAAACGGCGTAGGACGAATCTGCGAACCAACAATATGTATGTTATGTTAGTTGTTTCAAATAAAGTTGTGCAAAAGAAAAAAGTGGATTTTAAAAGGTTTTGTTTCAAAGTTTATTTCGCATTAGAGCACCCCGAGGCGTGGACACGCCGTGCTGTAACGGGCCACTGCATCTTTGAAAGGTCTTACAGCGATCTCCGGGAGAAGCCCTCTTGGTCCCATTTATGGCTTGGGGTCTGCGAGTTCGCCTGGCGAATTCCCTTCATCTCCTCTGGAAGGCGAACCTGCGGTCCGAAAAAAACAGTTTGAAGAAGTAAATTTTAATTGAACGCAATGATCCTTCTGTGCTTTAGAGACTTTTGAGATTGCTAAATTATTATAAAAAAAGGCTACATTTTTGAACGAGTTGGTAATGATTGAATATGGTTAAAATAGCGCGCATATAAAAGTAAACAGAGAAGACAGTTGTCTCTTCTATCTCCTCTGTTCCTTTCTATTTGCTCGCAATTTTAACCATGCTCAGCCATTGTCTGCTTTGTGGTCTATGTCAAAATGACAAAGTAAAGCTAAAAGAAAAAAGAACTCTCTTTTGCAGATTACTGTCAATGAATGCATCACTTTTTTTCTAAAGTGTGGACAGTTCGCAAGCTTAGGGGCATTAAGCTGTAAAAAAAAAATGCGGCTTAATATGTCATACTTAACTGAGGATACTAAATTTTAGTAATTTAAAATTGAGACAATGATGAAGCGGACGCTCACGCTGAATATGGTTTTGAATAAGAACGAGTTAGTGGTGATTTCTGACGTATTTTTACATCCGTGACTTTTTGACCCAAACAAATCTACAGACGCGACAAAAAAACGCTTTGTGTTACGTCGTTCGCAGAAGATTCGTCTGCCTTGCGTGTGCCGCTTCGGAGGCAACGCAGGCAGCCATTTTGCCTGCTAGGGTAAAGCTCGTAGAAAGCGAGCTTTACCCTAACTTTTGGGATTTCTGTATAATACGTGATGGTTCCCCCTTGCACCGAACGTGACGGAAAGGAGGGGATTCCGCGCTATTTTGAAAGCGCATTTGTGGCTATCTTGGCGCATCAATCTGAAAAAAATTTTGATATTCGTAATACCGGGGGCCCAGTAAAGCCGATTTAAATATTTTTTCTCAATAACAAAACTGCTCCAGTTGCGCTGTAATCAGTGTTCTGTGAGGTATGATATTTCGTTGTAACTTAGTTTTACCCAAAATGACCGAACTTACCGCATACAAAACCCACGAGGTTTGATAACACGTCGCTTACCGTTGGCAACGATTTCGCTCAGCTGATTGTAAAGGACCTCTGTGATTAAAAAGAAAAAGATAATTGTTGCAATTTGTAACTACACAAATATAATATACATATTCTCGATTTTTATCTCCGTTTCATTTCAAGTAATTTATGTTAACCAGCTCAAGGTGTTGAAATCGTTTAGAGAACATATTCGTGAAAGTTTTGCTTCGTGCGAAAAAAATATTTATATTTATTTCACACCAAGCAAAACTTTCACAAACTTTCACTGTGCTTGCGCAGGGCGTTAAAAGCATTTATAAATGCTTTTAACGCCTGGGAAATGACAGTCAGGAAATACTCGATGAGAAGGCTTTATGCCACTTTTTTATTAAATGTTGACTTGAACAAGATTTGGGGACTCTGAAAGATATTTTAATGATGACAAAATATGAGTGATTAAAAACAGTCATCTTAAACTGCGCAAATATAATGGATCGAAATACCTAATTGGCCTTTTTATCTCTTCTTTATAAATCATTACACATATCGCTAAAGTGGTTTTCCAACGATTATTTGAGCTACCTGAACTAACGAAATCTTCGGAATCACTGGCCTTTATCTTTCCTGCGTGCTATTTAGTATCGCGAAATAGTTACAGTGAAATGAATAAGTGTGATTGATACCAAAACCAACATTGAAATATACCCGCGCTTTTCATTGCCGTGATATCTGTTGAAAGCATAATTTCAGGTCACGTGGGCTGTCTAAAAATGTACGATGCCGAGCATTTGTTCCCTGCTGCAAGCACGGAACAAATGCTCGGTATTTGTTCCGCTGTTCCGCAAAGGCATAAACACCTGAATTCCGCTGACGTGACTTTCTTATTGCAGCAAGTAGCGATTTTCACTTTGAAAAACAGGCTGAGGACCAACATTGTTAAATATTAACTTCGAAAAAAAAGATTTTCCACCCAAAATTTAGGCTACAATTTCAGCAATGTTTGTCGCTGTGTTTATTACATTTTCAGGCAAATCTCAGACTATAAGAAAATTCCGGAGTACCCCCTTTATATAACAAAACATAAAAATCTTAATTTTCAAGTTAAAGACTTTCGTCTCAGGTTATGACAGTTAACTTTGCCGTTTACAGGAGAGACAGTAGCACAACTTTATGGCTTACTAACTTGCGGCAATTTACAAGTGCATGTATTAATCTCATTTATTGGGATGCCATTCCTTATGTTTTTCGTGTAAGGTGTGCTTTTTTTTTTGCAGGTTAATAAAAAAATTTAGTTGATGTATGAGCAGAGATATAAACCTGCAGCGGCGACATTTCCATCGTTTATATTCGGTCACCTACAAAACGTTTTTTTTTCTGTTAGCTCATTAAGTTTCCCACATTTGTTTCTCATGCAGCTTGAGCCCATAAACAGAAATAGCCTAATAAAGTGTAGCAATTAGTCTGGGGTTCAGCCTAACTTTCATATAGATTTTTTTGCCCTGTACGGTAGTACGTTGCTAAGCATAACTTCAGTGTGTATATTTATAGTGCGACATGGTGCATGCCGATTGATTAGATTGTATAGTGCCGTGAATGTTTGATCTTTATGAGTTGAAGGTTTATGGGCTTCAAAATAAAATGAGTATGAGGAGTTCTCTGCTGCCATGTCAAAACAGTATTGTTTTTTGTCGTAATTTAGACTTATTCAGAACACGATCAATTTTCACAAGGTTGTGAAGAGAAGGGAAGTGTGTCGATGAAAGGATCTTGGTGAAGTTAAGGTGGAAACTATTTCTGAGTGCTAAAACTCTGATATGAATTACTGACCGAGATCGCTTTTTCCCACATTGACATTTCCTGCAAAGCAGAAAAATATTCGTGCATTAGAACTGATAGTAACAAGCAGTTTGGTATGCAATGAAGGTAGTTAGGTAAAACATTTTGCTGCAAAAGACATTATACTGGGCACAGTAACATTGCAAAGAAATTTTTTTTGTTTGGTTCGACAGTTAGTCCATACTTATATATTAAACTCGGTGGCATTCTTTATGTCACCTCCTGAAAATTTCCAGTCGTCCCTTTAAAACGAATGAGCTTGCACGGGAGATTTGGGCACACGTACGCTCCTCCAATGCTTATCACTTAAACGCGTGGGTCAAGAGATCAAGCTCTCACTGTGTGCGTATGCAGCCTTCACTATACCCCGCACAAGGAAAGAGCGGGCTGAAGAGGAGCATGCTCAGCACGTCGCTGCTTCTGAACAGGAGCAGCGACGTGCTGAGCATGACCATGCTCGACGTACCAAAATGATGCCGGTGGCCCTTACAAAGCCGGACATAAAATGTGTGGGATTCGTTGTTTTTCTTTCATCGAAATTGAATGCGCACATTATGGGCATTATAAAAAACAAGCGAAACATTCGAATTTTCATGTGTTTTGTATCGAAGCATCTGAGAAGTACAGCCCGTTTATAGGCTTTCGGGTGAAAAATTGTGAATGTAATATATGTGTATCATTGTAACACTGTCATTCATAATTTGGAAAAAAAAAATCTACTTTTCGAATTTTCACGTTACATGCATAGATTGCCCATTTCATTACCTGTTTCTTAAATAGTAGGTTGAGGGATGATTTTCTAAAACTGGCTTTGGCACACCAGGTCATGAGGAAAATTAAGGTGGAGTCTTTATTTAGCAGATGATTATAACCATACTGGAACCCCCTGCTGTAACGGCTTGTTTGTATAAATTATCGCCATAGATGTTCTCCCTCACGATTGTGGTATTAGTATAACACGTGTAAGAAGGGTAAACGGTGGACGGACATAAATACATGACGCGTAAAACGATGAGTCATACCAATGGTGCCTTTCACTGTTTCCATCAGCTTTGTTGCTGTACGGGGGAAAGCAAATGAAGGCAATTTGATAAAGCGGTAAGGTGTGAATAAGTTATGTTAGGAGCTGAAGTATAGGTAATTTATTAACCTCCATTACAACACTGAAATATATTTGTGGGGGAGATCATCTTAGATTCATATGGTGGATGAGACAATTCTACAGATATATTTTTCAGCACATTGTGATACATTGGCTCAAGCATGTTTAAATTAAAAATATTATTATTGTCAGCTTCCCAACAACTCGAATAACATTGCTACCTAACGTTGTTGAGTATAAATGTTAAATGTAGGGACCCATGATAGTGACAAGAATTTCAAAATCAAGAAAACAATAAGCACCAACATGATTGCATTCAATGTATGATACTGTTTTTGCTGTCGCGTTTCTTTTCAACCTGAATTTCTATTGTCTCTCCTGCGATAGTGGGCTTATAAATATGGCAAATTTATGTCCTGTACCTGTTATCCTATAGTAACCATCTTGCTGATCAATATTTAACTAATTCACGTAAAAAATGGTAAAAAGCTATTTTCTTTTCAATATTTTTCTCAATATTCAATACGATTACACACTATACGCCCGATACGGCAGGGCTAGCTTACAATTGAGTTTTATCTTACATGTAACGAAACATTTTCTTAAATAATTTAACATTCCCTAATGTGTTTTTAACAAAATTTTATAAAACAATTGGCTGAGGGTTACATGGGTGCTGTCTTGAATTTGCATTTAACACGCTCAGCGGATATTGGCTGATGGGACTACCGTTACGTAAAGAAAACAATTAAATAAAAACATTTAAAGTAGATTTTTTGCTTTTATGCTTTACTAGTTATGTTGCAATTTCAGTATTCACAGCGTCCCGCCAATCGTTTCACCGTTGTTTTGTGAACACCAAACACTCTTTCTTCGCTGAGAGTAAGCTGAGATAATATAACATGAACTCTCGGTTCTAAGGATACACAATACTCCTTACCAGTGTTATGAACGCTGTTCTTGAAGTCAACACCTTCTGCAAAGGCAAGGAGGGTCTTTGTTTAGGTTATGGTTCCTACATCTTCATATAAAAGTCTGCTTCTGAAGAACATTTTTTATATTTAGATTATTCAATCAATTGGTGGTAGGATTATTATAATCCTGTTCATTAAAAAAATATAGAGCTCAAACACCCGAAACAATAGTCTAAAAGTTTAAACTTGTTTGCTTCAATATCTTCGTGGTATACAAAGTATATAAAAGGAAATACTGTTCGGTATTGAGTAAGGGGGATATTAATGATAATATTATTATTATTATTTATTTCGGCTCAGGAAAGCCAGGATACAGCAGAAACGCGGGAGCCCATACCAATGTAGGCCTGCTGTGTCGTTGAAGCTAAGCCAATGAAGATACAAGTGAACAACTTGAGCGTCGTTAAAGAGTAACTTACGCTTGGTGAAAAGAGCTTTAATCTCATCGTACACGTCACCTGTAACATAGAGATGTTCATGCATTATGGTTTAATTTAGTGTTTGGAGATATACCAGATAGCACAAGACAATAGGCGAATTTAGAAGTATTGTGATTTACAATACTTTTCTACAGGATCATCTGGCGAAGGCCAAACACCTTGGAGCACAAACATTATTAATGATATAACTTCAAGGCGGCGCAAAGAAGAAAAAAAAAGAAAACGAAGGAAGACCTACATTTTTTGAGTGAATCCGCAGTTAAAGACTGACCAACTTAGCACTGAGGGTTTGTGAGCGGGCAACTACCAGTGCAATGGCGCAGAGCAGGCGCCGCCGGGCGATGTTTGCCGCGTGTTGGCTGCGTATTCGCTTCATGAACTCTAGTTTTCATTATTTTTTGCTCTCATTCTTTCTGTCAGAACCACCGATGTCAGTGATTAGGAGGTACTTCGTTTCCTTGTCAATTTACCCACCCGAGTTTACTAGGGCGCTGTCAGATGCTTTGCACGTTGATCTGACTGGTACGCTCAGGCCGTAGCAATTGCAGTTTGAAAGGTCTCGATGAAAAGGAGTAGACACAATTATATACACACTTTAAAGTTGAGATGTGGTTTTGTAGAACCTCAATTTCGTGTACAATTTAATATATTCATTATGGTCATATTTTTTGTTCGGGTGAAAATACTACATTGGACATATTTCCGCTAATATTTTTGAAAATCCCTGAAATATAGGGAGGTGGTAAAGGAAAAAAGAAATTTTTTTGGGAACAAACTTCCAATCACGGCCGTCTTCAAGGATTGCAAATAAACACTCTAATTTGAGTGTTTATTTGTTTTCAGTTTTTGTGAAAAAATATTTTCATGCGTGTTCTTCTTTCCCGCTAAGCATCGACATTGACACACAGCTCTGTCCATTTTACCTCTAAAAGAAATTGAAAACCTCGGTTCTTACGTTTGGAAGAATCATAAAGAAAATTTTGATAAAATAAAATACCTAATGATTCATCAATGACATGACCCATTGTCGAGGCATTGCCCAGCAGTTCAGTTTTCGGTCGGGTAGCGTGGGACGCGTGCGTGACGTCACGATTGTGTTCTTTGAGTCTGGTCTCTCTCCTCCGTCCGGTTTCGCCAATGTAGGACGCCGGGAAATCACTGCAGGTGACTTTGTAAATAATGCCTCTCTGAACGTTATCTACCAGATCCCCTGTAGTGAGTGACTGCCTGGCGACCTACATTGGTGAAATGGACGCACGAGAGACCAGACTCAGAGAACACAACCCTGACGTCACGTACGCATCCCACGTGACGCGAATGAAAAGTGAACTATTAGAGTTAGACCATGCGTGGACAATCATTTGGTCAATCTCTTGACTTTGCGGCCGCCACGACAATGGCGAGGGAGGATAGGTGGGGGCCCCGAAAACTTCTAGAATCGTGGTTCGTCCGCAGGGACAAATCCGTGTGCAACAAAAACCGCGACCCTCACCACGAAGCTTATACGGACGTTCCTCATAAGTAGCGTTGACTTGTGGTTGATCCTTGCATTTGCTTTATAACTACTGAAGAAGCCTCCGGCACGGGAGGCGAAATGTCTAATTAATTTTTTTCTTTCTGTTGTGTCAAGTCGGTGCTTTTATTTTAATTATGACGTCTCCCTCCTTTTGGAATATTTTTGTAAATTTGTAAAATTTAATTCATGATTTAAATGAAAGCAGTTTTACTGTGATAGATAAATAGATAATATTGTTCATTTACCGCTTGTCCATCATTTGATGCTTTCTCTGAGCATTTGTTGCATTTCAATTAAAGAATGATCAAGCGAGACATCAGGCGGAACACGAGCAAAATTAAGTGCTCTTCTGAGCAAATCAAGTGATAAGTTTGAATTAAAACTTCCACTCCATTGGTCAGCTAAGTTCCATCCTACTTCAACAAAATCAGAACGCAAAATAAAGAAACGAGAACCGGAAAAGTAATGTTTTATCGAAATTATTTGAGAACGCGAAAGGATAACCAAATAAATATTGTTATATAATTAACAATATCAAGCGATTTTTGTTCTCGATTGCATGAATTACATTATTAAAATGCTAATTAAATTGTACATTTCATTTTCAATCATTCTTTCTCCCGTATTGTTATCAGTGATCGGACAAATTGAGCAATATATCTGCCATGTTGAGAAATATGTAGTTTTAGCGAATCATTTTTTCTCTAGCTACTGATATTCATTTTAAATCAAGTAAATTTGATTGAAATCAAATAAATTTGTTTTATTAAAAATAATAATATTATTATTTTTAATAATCATCATCATCTTTATTTCCAAACAAAAATCAAACAAGTAAAACGTATGTGTGATTTTTCAATCATTATATTATTTCGCCCTCTTTATGCAACATGTGCTCCTGCGTGAAGCAAAAATATTTTATGCACGAGTACTGTACTTTATAAATTTTATGCACTATTCAAATTTCGAGGTTCTGAAAGAATGTGTGC